TCTGCATCTTTCATGTTTCATACATAAAGTTCACATTTCTCCTTTTTCAGAAAATGTCAACGGAATGCAAACGAATACAGGTCATGTTGCAGAGACATTTTGCCCCCTGAAAGGATTGGAAATTTACAAACCAAACTCCGGTCAGCCGGACAGTCCCGTACATCTCTAGAGAACGCTAACTTAGTTTACCAACCATTCGGAGACGAGAACTTACGACCATGTGACCAGAATGGACCAATCAGTGACGGGACGACATTCATTTTTTTTCACGCTCACTGCTTGTTGATCCATTTTGGTCTCGTGGTCGAAATAAGTGATTCTGAATGGTTGGTAACTTGAACCAATTACAGTGCCTTCGTTCTGCCTCCAAATAACTTACAGTTTCCTTAAAGCTGTTTGCAGTCTTTTTTGATGTTACGTACCAATAAATGCCGGGCATTTTTTTTATTATTTCATCAAAATACGGGATAATTTCGACTTTGAAGGCAGACTTTTTAATACAAAAAGAAGGGAAAGGGAATGATTTTGTTGTCCTTTTTGCTAAGCGAATATGCAAAATGCCTAGAATTTGAATAAATTAAACCACGAAATTTAATATTATTGATAAGAACATGTTTTTTCTTAATATAAAGTGAATAATTACTCACTATTCAGCGAAGAATTTTCAATTGTTTTGATAAATAGTACTAGCTTTTTTTTATCCAAATCATTTAAAATTGTTAAAATTCAAGCCACTTGTCGTTGCGAATCTAAAGTTGCGAAGTCAATGGACAAAAGGCAGTAGCTTTGTTGTGCACAATTATCTTTGAATATCTAAATAATGATGCGAAATTCACCTAATTTCCTTGCTGTAAACCGTCGTGGTTTATTTTGTTCTGTTTTGCCAATCAGACTGACAATTTTTAAAATCAATTGACCGCTGCTTTAACCCATGAAGAACTCCGTGATATTTCTCAGTTACAAAGTTAAGAAGAAGTAAAGTGAAGGTGTTTACCGAAAGTTTGAACGAGAATGTAATTTCCAAGAGCAACGCCCTTTCAAAAGAGAAATTTGATCGTTTTTTCTCACAATAGTACTTCAATAATAAAAGAACTTTAACTTGAAGGTTAAAATCAAATCTAATTAATTCAGATGTTTGTTAAAATCTCGCAATAAACCTAAAATCTGACTGAAGAAAGGCTGAAGAAAGGATCATTGTCAGTATCTCAGCAGCTGAACATCTACCCCTCCCCCTAAAAAAACATTAAACTTAACTTATTATCAGTTGGCTGTTGTTGGGCTAGGGGAGGGGTAGGTGCCCAGTTGCACAGATACTGACATTAATCCGAAGGAAACATGAAAAAGGGACTGTAGATGTGTCTATATGGGAACATCTGGTGAGGGCTTTTCTTCAGAAACTCAACAACATCTCGTTTTTTAACCTTTAAACTCCCAAGATCTGATTGTTAGTTCTTCCCTATAGCTGCTAAACATTTCGTTGTAAATTATTCGCTAGAATTTAGTGCAAGATCAAGATAACAACTTCTGCCCCATAAGTTTGAGTATTCTCATTACCTGTTTGCTAAATTTTATTATTATATATAATATTATTATAGGGAGAAGTTAGATGTTAATCACATCTAGGAGTTAAAGAGATAAACCGCTATTGCATCTGATGTTCTCTGGGATTTAGTATTGTCAATTTTCCACCTAAAATATACTTATAATTTGAAAATTTTTCAGTGAAACCTTGAATTTTTATAAGTGATTATGAAAAATTATATTTTAAATTTTATCAGTTTTCAACACTGATTTCTGATCCTTTTTAAAAGGTTGCTGTCTGAGTTAATACAAGTGTGAGCTAACTTCGCGTTGTGACATGAACAATAATTAAAAATTGAAAAATTTTTTAAATTTCTGCATCTCCTGTTGATCAAGAGCATATACAATAACTGACTTAAGTTTATATTTTAGCTGAATTATACACGCATTCTGATTGGTCCTTATGATCTATTGAAGGATAGATGACGTCACCTTTAACAAGATTTTGCTTTTTTATCATATAGAACAAATTGATTCCATGTTGCTGTGGGTCAGTACAGTAGTAGATCACATAAGACGTCGATCGTTTTTTCGAATTTCTCCGAAACGCTTTGGATCTTTAGGGACCTTACGCAAACTAAGACGCGCGACGACGGCAACGAGGAGGTGGCAAGACGGAATATCTAATGGACAGAACAATAGCCTAGCACGTGCGTTTTAAAACGTTGCGTGTTTCTTAGCCTCCTCTGCGAGACAACAGCGTCAAATCTTATAGGTTTACTTGAACGAAATCGACGGCAAATTATGCTAATGCTCGCGTAAGTTGTCCGGAAGTTGAGATGTGGCGAAGGAAGAGACGGTAAACACATCCAACCATTCGCAAAATTCTAACTCAAAATATAACTTCATTTTGTAATTGACGTCCTCATCGGCGTTGCCGTTCAGGCCGCGTAAGGTCCTCACTAATGACACCACTTAAACGTTTACAATTCGCACCGTTGAAGATTACTTTAATTTGCAAAATAAGCGATCACCTAATCTCTCGTCTCAGTGTTTTTTAGTTTTAGTGGCCACGGACAATAGACTAAAACCTCAACTCCATTAGGGTTTTCTCCTAATTAACAATAACGATACGTTGTTTACTGTCTATACCTTGACCTCCGTAAATGTAGATTTTGGTGTCTGAAAACAAATATACCCCCTCAAAGATTCCTGTTATAGAGGACTTCCTTGAAGCGACTAACTTTCCAAAACACCTTTCACCGTAAATGTTTATCAGACTTCAAAGCGACATGCCGCCGTCAAAACAACTAGCTGACCCATTTAACTTCACCTCCGCACACAGTATAAGAAAATTGTTTTTCATGGAAGTGTTCGGGGCTCCAAGAGTACTCCTGGCGTTTATTCACTTTAAAAGTAAACAATTAAAACTAAGCTGCATGATGAATTAGGCAAAAAAATCAAAGTCGAGTACGCCGTATCTTCCAAAAGTAACTCCTCAAGGAATTGTCAATAATACATTGGTGCCCTTTCAACTTGACGTTCCATAATCAATCGGGGCAGAGTTTCTCAAAATAAATAAAAACTAGAACTAATTTGATTATCGTAACTGTAACATGTAAATACACATTTTGGAGTCCTGATAAAAAGTGACCATTATCCCAAGAAGGGAAGAGGAGATACAAAGCCATTAGCCATTGACACTTAAATTAACTTCCTCTTATTTCTACTTACACTCGAATTCGCGCTGTATTAATAATGAATACTGTCTACTGCTAGCATCTTCTCAATTTTCCCGAAACAGCATAAAAATTGATCCTTAAAACTGAAAATTCAAAACAAATTTTTCGAATAAGGAACTTAATGCTTTCAGTTTTGGTAAGCGGGTCAAATGCTTCTTTTTTCTGCTTTCAAACAACGAAAAATAAACTTTGACAATATAATCCTGAATATGCCATATGCTTTTTATCATTTTACTCAAACAGCGATTTTTAGTAGGGAGCATCAAGTGGAAAGATCTGTTTTAGGCGTGAACCTATTTTTGTTAAATGTTACACCTTGAACCAGGATGATTTTAATTTAATAAAAGTAAACTACTCCTTGGAAAAAGTCTGAATTTATTACTTCTTCCAAAACCTTTTGGCTTTAGACAGTATTTCTTTGTACTTGTGTTATCTCTTCATTCATGTGGGAGGGGTTCAGCCCGAAAAAACAAAGTAGCGTGTAGCAGTTATGCACAGTTTGAAGAAATTAGAATCGAAAAAGAACACACTTCTCAAATGAAGTAATTTATTCGAAAAATACTCGCGTGCGTAGGTGGGTCGAGTGAAATCGGTTAATGTTAGGCTGGGGGCCAATATGAGTTATCAACCGGCAAATAAATGCATGCGTAGGCCGTAGAATGTACGAAAAAACTAAATGATGACTCACAACAGTTCACTTTACAGTCATAAAATGAGTTTATATGCCTTGAAGTAATAAATTGATGTGATATATTTGAACCTCCAAAACAAAAGAAGCAGTAAATAATTTTGTAATTTAAAAGGGAAACTTCTGCGAAAGTGAAATCAATGCTAAGGGATATCGGTGCGTTTGGATATTTCACTTCATTTTTTTTCCGTTTTTCGCATGCTGTGGAAACTGACCGAAACGAAACTGCTCTCAACCTGAGTACACAACAATAAACTACGGAAGTAAAATTCAGATTGCAAATGGCGAAGTGGAAAATTAGCACGAGCTAACTGTAATATAGCACCTTTAATTTAAGATGTGATAATAACAGCACTGTGCTTTTGTAACTTCTTTTATGTTTAAGTTAAACTTACTGGGTCATTGGACGGTCTTAAGCCAATAAAGAACTCGAGTCAGCCAATGGTCTTTTAAGGTTTTGCCAAGGTTTGAATAAAAAGGTATAATACATGTACATGTGGCACTTGATGTTTTATATTTTTTCGCCTTCTGGGTTCTGAAACAATCACCTCTTCAATCTCAATACTCCATCTTCGTGTAATGTAGGCAGTGAGTGACTGGAATCATATTTATACTCTGTAGAGTCTTAACCACACCTTGCGTTCAGATTTTACCATACTCTGAACGCTAGGTGTATTTGCTATTAAATCCTTTTGAATATAAGGAGCAAATTTACATCGAAGGTTAAAAATGAAACGAAAAAGGCTTGTACACAGATTACTTACAATTCGCCCTATTGGTGAAAGAGTAGGCAAGAAAGATTTTATGATTCAAATTACTTGCTTGACATTTCGAGTTGTTAATTATTGATGCTCGGATAATTACAGTTTGAGACAATCTGATTGAATAAATGCACTACTAAGAATGGTTCCACACCTTACTCAGAATATACCTTGACTTTTACAAGTCCTAATTTTTCACTTAATTGCACGAGTGCGACCAGATAATGTGAGGTACTTATTGTTTCAAAAGGGCAATTCCGCGTGGCATTTTACCCAAACGCAGCCAAGACTGTTCGAGAAAATAGAAACGATTGTTGTCCAATATTTTCTTCCGAAAACTTTTTAGAGCATTCCTAATTGTCTATGTACAGAATTTGATCAAAAGAACTCAACAAACACTCTTGCCTTGAGCTGTTTATCGTATTCCTAAGCTTTCCTTTTTCTTTTCCATTTTTTTTTAATTCCACCTCGTGCATTTAGTTTTTTATCAATTATTCTGTTCGGCGTAGCCGAATATTTATTTACTGTTGTTATTCAGCACCGAATTGTAAAAGTTCAATTACATTTTCCGCGAAAAGTTTAATTTTTATCCATGTAAGAGCGCTGAAGCTGTAATCATTGATGTGCTTGAGAGTAAAATTAAATATTCAGTTTTAATAAGTTTAGTCTAAATCTCAATTTTCCGGTTTTAATATTTAATGCTTTCAGAACGTGAAAAAAAGGAAAAACAAGAAAGGTTCTCGTGAGAATTTCTTCCTCCGAAATCCCTGTTGTCTCAAATTTCACGCCAAAGTGGAAACGTTGAAGTGAACAATTTATTCCAGAAACCCTTAACAGCATCTCTAAAAAGCTTTGTGTTAAAATCTTTCATTTAAAATTTAAAGGCATTGCATGAAAGAGATATCTCCATGCATTTTTAAGCTCTCTGAGGTTTTTATTACAGGATAAATTAACCACTTTTTATTAAAAATTGGAAGTATACAATTCTCATGGTTTACAAGATTAATCTAACGTTTCCGCTATGAATAAACAAATAAGAAACTTTTGACGTCATTTCAAATTAATTTAGTAGGCCTTATGAGGAGCATTTGAGCCGAGTTTGGTCAAATTGTGATAATTTTGACCAAAAGCTGACGGTATTTTCCAAATCTGACTTTTCTTAAATTAATAAATAATTTTCTGCGTCATACAAAACTTATCTCGACCCAGCTTATCAGCAAAATGTACGAAATGGTGAACAAGTATCTCTTGTGGACCAAATAGAACTATGATTTTAGAAATCTGAACATGGAATCTCTTCCTAGCTGAAATACTTAATCTTCAAAACTTGATAGGCATTTAAAGCTGCCCGTATCGTTCCCCATTTTCCTGAAAAAATCCTCAAATAAACAGATAACGATTCCGCGTCTAAGCCAGCAAAAGACATAAACCACTCTTTATGTGAAAGAAAGAGGTAATCTCCAAGAACATTCACACAGTTTAATCAATCAAAACCCAGCGCTACTGCAAATTAAGCGTAAGAACCTGGAACTGAATACTGTTTACATTTCAAACTGCAGTCACTGCTAAAGCATTGCGATTAGCTTCCTGATTGGGAGTGTTCCGCCCCGTGTCCGTGTTTGGCGAAAGAGTGGGAAGCATTGTATCCAAAAGTTCAGGCAAATCTCCACTTAATATGTTCGAGTGAGTCGTCCTCGTTCGGAAAATTCTCGGAAGGCTCCCTCGACTTTCAAACGATTGAGTTCGCTGAAATGAACCCCGTAGCCGACGACTTAGCTGCCTGGCCAACATTCTGTCAGCTTGAGAAACACTTTTTTCCCTCATGGAAATTCTCTCCAAAATGTTTCTAACAGGCGTTAGGTCTTCGTCGGTAACTCGACAGCACTTGGTGATAAAGGCTTTAAAAGCCACGCGAAATTCCTCAATACAGATACTGTACACTATTGGATTCGTGCAGCTGTTTGCGTATATTAAAATTTCGCCCCATACATAAACTTGGCGCCCTGCTTCGGGAAAATCCTTGTGAAAGTCAGTAAGAAGCCAGAGAATATGATTTGGAAGCATGCATACTGCAAATATTAAAACAACGACTACCATCATTCGAACAACTTTCGATACGTCGCGTTCCTGTACCCGGTGGGCCGGTGTGAGGTGACTGCGATTAATCTGTAACTGTCTCGCAATTTTCACATAAGCCAGGGAAATTATAGATAAAGGAATAACATACTGAAAAATAAAAATAAACCAAGTGTACAAGCGACTATGGAGCGTAGACCATTTCTCAACACAGCGAGAATTTTTTGTCGTTAATACGGTTATATACGGCAAGACGAAAACAAAGGAGACAGCCCAAATGACAGCTATAGTTACTTTTGCCCATTTACGTCCTCTCTGCATCCTCATCGGGCGTGAAATGGCGGTATATCGGTTGTAAGCGATCGCTGTAAGTGTTCCTACTGAAGCGAAAGTGCACATGGTCATAATCGGATAGATGACGTGGCAAAGGAACTTTCCAAACGGCCAGACATAGTCGTTTTCTTGCACAGCAACATCAAAAGGTATACAGACTATGGTCACCGCCAAATCTGCTACCGCTAAGTTCATGATGTAGAAGTTTGTTGATGTGCGGAGTTTTTGCTGTCGACAAACGACCAGACATACTAATGTATTTCCACTAATACCTATAATAAAAATTGTTGCGTACAATGTCATCTTAACTGTTCTTAGCGTCTCCGAATCGTTTGGTGAATTTTCTACCACTCCAGTTGTGTTATTCATAACAATCTGGTCTCGCGTAAATTCCACCAAAGATTTCTGCTTTAACTTGATACACTTCAAGCCCTTTGAAAAGAAAGTCGTGCCCCTCACCTCGATGAGCTGTAAACTGGTCGAGCAGGTAAACAGTTCGAGAAATGTCGGAAGAAAATCTAGAATTATCGTAAATTGTTCGCTCGTGGTCTGTTAATTGTCTCGACGCGAGAATTTGTTCAGATCGGTTTCTAGATCTTAACGGTTTTATATAAGCTAATGGTTTTTGTATGGCAGAACGGACTGAAAACGTGTCAATCAATCACACTTGTCAAACACAAGTGGAAAAAAACCCTCGTGTGAAAACGCATTTTAGCCTTCAAGAGCTTTTACAGTCCTATAGAGAATTAATGTAAATATCTTTCCTCGTGGCCTCAAGCTATAATTAAGAAAACTTGTCAATGTCGTGACGAAAAACGGTGCATTTGCGAATTTTTTTTAACGGTTATGAAATTCTACAAAATTAAGAAATACGATGATGATTTTTAAAGTTAAACATGACGTTGAAAAGAAGGTAAGAACAAGAATTAAAATTACAACAAAAACAACTAAAATTTGAGAGCAGCTTTCACTCTTGGCCACATGTTGATAGTTTCTGAATAGGAACATGTACGCTCGAATTTCGCATAATTGAATCGATGTTTATTCTAAAACTGTTTGGTACCGCAAAAATGTTACAGATACGAACCAAATTTGAAAGTACACGTTTTTTTTTGTTTTTGTTTTTTTTGTTTTAAGAAGAGCGAAATCCTACAGAGAGTCAAATTTCCGCGACAGAAATTCTAGTTTCAACTGAGTAAACAGGTGAAAACTTAACGAGTCTCCGTAGTAGGCAATTAATTTTGTCGGATGCCACTAAGAGAATTTCCTACGGATTACTTAATACTCCGGTTGGACCCTCACTTGAAGGTTCCGCTGTGACACAGCCAAGGCGCTGACCGCGCACTGTGAAACTAAGACACGATTTACATTGTGAAAGAATTTAATATCGGTGTTTGTAATTTTGGAATACACCATTTGGCTCCTAGGAATTTGCATTTTGTCAGCTTCAAAGGATAAATTTAGCTTTTTTTTCCCAACAGACGCCTTTAAAGTTGTATGCAAATACGTGGAAAATTCGCTCAAGGAATAAAAATTTTATGGAAGTGTTTGGAATCGGATTCTCCTGAAAAAGATACAATAGAAAATTCGAATTAATTACATCACAAGTTGAATCCGTATCCTGAACTGAAATTTACAATAACAAAAAGCCGTAAAAATGGAATTTGAGTTTACTGATTTCATGAGGGGATTACACGCACAAGCAAATTAATTCAGAAATAGACATAAAGGGAATCAAAAGCTTCAGGCCAGCTTTAACATACATGCTACTGCCGATTTGTTTTTCAATCCCAGCATGATATTTCGAGTTATCTTACCTCAACTTCGACTTAAGAAGCAACAAATATATATTTTTAAATATTTTTTTTTTCTAAAGAAGCATCATCATTGTTCAATTTTAGTAGAATTTAACTTTGCGAATCAGTCGCTCATTCACAATTCAAAAATATTTGAGCATTTGAAATGTATTCGTAGAGCCGTTGATCATTTTTGAGTTTCTTGCGAAACGTTAGTGTAAGTTGCTACCTTAAGTGATATGTGAATACGTCAACGTATGCGTAATGGTATTTTTTGTATCTGTTTTTGACACTAAAACATGTCAACAGTTGGTAATAGCGGAAGCAGGTTTCTTTATTTTTATTCATTTGTTTTTTTTTCATTTACGTGGAATTTTAAGTCCCGCCTTAATACTCTGTTGGCGATGATAGACCCCCCCCCCCCCCCCAAAAAAAAAAAAAGCGACAGAATGACTAGTCCCAAATTAAACTCTTACTAAAGAAGTAAACTGTCAAAAAGGACATTGCAGAGACTGTATGACCACACATTTAAGGGAATTGATAGCGGAGCTCGCAGAGCGTAGCCCCATTATCATACAAAATAATAGTAACACATCAAGCCAAAAAAATTTGGATGTACGACCGTACGAACGTACAAGGTGTTACTTTTAACATGCGCGGTCAACTGTACCG